CGCGATATTATATGACTTCGCAATTTCACCACTTTTTTCGCTAATGATCTTCCTCGATCATTGTCGATCAAAGCTTTTTCTGGAACTTTTTGTCGATCTATCTCGCCACTTCTCGATGTTTCTTCTGTAGTGACAGTTTCTTCTATTCTTTTTCCTGGAAATCAGACAAGCTACTTGATTGAATATTCTGATCTTTTCTTCGTATAAAATTCTAAAGCAAAAAAAAACCTACCTTCATCTGATTTTCCCCAATCAATAGTCAATATTTCTTTATCTGTTTCTGATATTACGTTAGTTTCTGACATTTCATTACTTTGTTCTGCAACGGCATTGTCCGATTGGCAAACTTTGTTTTTAACATTGCAGGATATCTGCGACGTGCACGAGCAAAGGATCTAAATAAATCCACTTGTTATTTAGACATGCAAATTAAAATTGAGATAATTGAAAATAATTAAATGGAGGAGGATATTCCAGTTTTATAAAAATTCTATAATGTTTTCGAATAGCCGAGAATAGTTAAACGATTAAATTATTTTAGAAATAAACAAAAAGCATACATGAGTATTACTAATGATATTCCTGTCTATATCTTGATTATCGGATATTCTGGTATCTGATAAAGCGTTGATGTAATTTTTCGGTCGAATACATTTTGATTGTGAATTAATCTCATCTATTTCGAAGTACGTTGTATCCTTCGAAATCGACTTCAGATATCTACAACATGAATTATAATGAGCACCGTATGTAACATGAGCGTTATAATTTAAAACGTTTATTAATTATATTTTGCATACAAATTGAAAATTTTCACGTCATAATGATATTCATCACGGATTGCATCATAGATTTGATATACCTTGGTAATTCTTTCATCTTAAATTTCTTCTCGTGAGGATGCTGCAGCTTTGCATTTTCCGTTGTCACGTGAGACTCCGGTTGTCGGCAAATCGTTCCTCGTCGTGCGCGATGCGAATCATAATTTCTGCTATAAATATTATCCCCGGAATCGTCATGATCTGAGATGATTTGCAAGCAATCTACTCGCCGATCGTGCGCCTTTAAGAGTGAGCGCCGTTCGTTCTCTTCATCGGAGGAGAAAACGGAGGATGAGGAGGAGAAGGAGGAGGAGTCCTTACGCTTCGCGTCCTTTTTCGTAGCGCAGATTCGTCGATACGTTCGTACAGGCGAGGCAGATTGATTTCCAGGAAGCATCCGTGCTATTCTATCCATGAGAGACGGTTTTCTCGTTCGCCATTCGCCGTCGCTATCGGTCGTCTGGAAGGAAACGAAAATTCACGGTAAACGATCGGCGCAGAAATTTCTGATTAAAAATAAAATGGAAGGAATATCGTACGCCAGCGAGGAAGTTATTTTATTTTACCGTTCTCCTGCCGAGCCAAGAAATTTTCGTGAGTGCAGCGAGGATTCTTTCTACGCGACTACTTCGTTTTCTTGCTTTCGCAGCGCCGTCCTTTAAGAGTAATTCCTTTGAGCCCTCGTCCATCTCAATGTGAATTACCTCTTCCTCATCTAGCTCCTCTGTGGGACAGGATTCGGTGTCCGCTATCGACGTAGACGAGCTAGAATCGTCCTTACGCGGGGAGGAGCAGGATTTCCTTTTCAACCTGGTACGAAGCCTTCTACGGGCTCTCACCACGAAACAGGATGTCGGATCCTCGCTACTCGAGGTAATCTCCTTCGCCAATGGCTCGTTAAAAATCTGAAATCACAGTGGACATTCACTGCTCAAGTGAATGTTCCGTTATCGACATCTGTTGTTAAGGTAAACTTGCTCTCTTATTAGTAACGTAATTATAAATCTGGGCTTCAATTAAAATAACTCAAGGAGTCGATAATGTATTTATATTTCATAGAATAATTAATATATCAAATGAATAATTAATATATCAAAGATTCTGTCACACCATTTAGTCACCAAAGTTAAATTTGCAATATTTTATTACTTCTGTAAAATTAATTAAATATTTTTTATGACAGATATGCGATATCTAACTTGAATCGTAACGTCTTCTCTAATTTTTTGCGCTTCGATATCTTTGAATGGGACTCTCCGATGCTCGACTTCGATTTCTCTTGATTCTTCCTGATAAGCTATTATATGAATTAATGATTATTTTTATGATGATTTATTGATGATATAAATTATGCATTTAAAATAAACGTACGTTTGTAGCATAAATATAATGCAAAATGCAGATAGATAATGTACATACTATAACTGTAAACCGAAGAAATGCTTTCATCAAAATCATCATCTGTTTGCACAGCTTCATCTTTTTTTTCTACGAATATTCTTTCAACCTTTTCCTCTTTTCTTTCTTCAGATATTCTTTTTTCCGGTATTCTTTCTTCCAATATTTCTTTTTCCGGAATTTCTTTTTTTTCAGGTATTATTTCCTCTAATATTATTTTTTCTGGCACTTCTTTTTCTTGTATTATTTCTATTTCTTCTTTAGGTTCTTCTTCTATAATCAATTCTTCTTCTTTCTTATCAATATCTGGACTTATTGGTACAGGTTCTTTTCTCACGATTAATTGATCATCCGATGAATCTCTGATCCAATTAAAATGTCCAATAAAAAGTGCAAATATATATATATCTCATATAACATAATATTGCAATTATATTAACAATAGTTTTAATAATATATTATGAGTGTAAGAACGAATATTTGTTGAAATCGTAATAAAACGGATGTTCGATTCTTTTCGACGAATATTTTATTCGGAAGGACAATAAATTATTTTTTGTTACTCATAAACAAAAAACAAATTTAAAAACAGCTTCAAAGAAAAAATACAAAAATGCATATGTCATATTTTAAATATATTAATATTTATTGCCCGTAATATGTTACGTTATTAGCATATCACATTTATTCTCGTATTTTATCGTGAAATCTCTCATTCGGGATGCGGCATTTATCATTGGAGCTCACTTCTCCTCACTAATGTCCGATAAATCACCATATTCGATGGGCGATCGGCAGATCGTGCAGAGATTCTGCAAGTCCGCGAAGCATTGGATGCAGAACAAACCGACGCAACCTGGCGTCACGCATTTAACGTGCGGTTCCTGACCGGGACGTTCCACGGCGCCACACAGGAGACACATGTTCTGCTTTCGAGGGAACAATTTGTTCAGGAAAGGACAGATCGCCAGGCATCGCTCTCTGAACGTGACTTTCTCGATCATCTCGCCATCCGCCAGGCCGAACTTACGGCGCAACTGGCGCCGTGCAAATTTCAGAAAATTTCCTCTCGATCTGCACGAATCGCATCCATTAATTAACGCGACTTGTATGTTTGAAATTAATATCGAGCAGAGTAAACGGAAGGAAACTAAGTGACAAATTGAGAACAACTGGGAAGTTTAATTTTAATGAGACACAATATTTGAGAAGAATTTTTAAAACGTTTACTAACTAAGAAAATTTTAATATTCTGTTGAAAGTGACGAAGCGTACTTTTAACGTAATCAATATCTCGTCTTGAATAATAAATACCTTTTACAGTGATGCAGCCCGAAACTTTGTAGAAAGTAACGTAATCTGATAAATCTGCATTTATCGGTTATTTCATTAGCTAATTAAAAGCTCATACCTAATTATGTGATTATATAACCAAGCGGCTCTTTGCTTGGCTCTTTCCGGATGGTATTTACACATCACGATATGTCGCAGTCTTAATCCATACGGCTCAAATATCGCCATGATCCAGCAGAAAGCGATCAGTGTCGCGATCTGCGTATACCGGTCCATATCGGGAGGGCTGGGATTTGGAAGACAGGGCACCACATCGATCTCGGTATCCTTCGCATGCAGCGAGAAGGCTTTCACGATGCTTCGATAAAGGTCGGCGAGATAGCCGTTACCAGCCACATGGACGCCCACGAAATTGGGTCGTTGGACCTGGAGATCGATATATACGTTCCGCCATTATATTACCTTCCATTCTGATTATTCTACACCGCGGTATACGTTTGACCACCGATTGTCAATATCCCTATACTACATATAACAAACTTGTGGTTCTAAGCTAACGGAACGTTCAATTAATTCATTCTGCGAAATATACGTGATTTACGTTAGACATGCCTTTCCCTTGCCGATATTTCCCCGACCCAATGCAAATATAATTAAATAATTGTGTTCATTAAAAAGATTTTTAATATAATATTAATTTTATTGTTATTATATTAAAAATTATTATTAGAAAATAAAAATTAAAATATTTAATTATTATTATTAAAAAATTATTATATTTTATATTTAATAATAATAATTTTTAATAATTTTTTTGTTTAAAAGATTTAATAATTACAAGTCTACGTAGACAGGAAAGGGTTTAAATGTCATAGATAATATTTTCGAAATAAAAAAATTTTATTTTCTAAGTAATATTTGTACCTTTGTTTCAATCCGCCCATGATATCTAATAGTACTAAGGATCCAATAAAGACTGTAGTCCGCCATCATATGGATACATATTTTAAACGTTGCTAAACTCAAAAAGACGATGGATTTCGCGAGCTTTACTCTCTCTACCTTGATCAACATGATGGACGTTAGTGGGATGTATTGATTTTTCTCACGACGGTTTAGCGGTAAAATGGTCTCCTTATACTGACGTGTTCTTATTAAATCGATAGTACGCAGATCATCAGTTAGATATCGGTTGTCAAAACGTTCTTTCGTCAGCCACTTGTGTCGATAACGCAAAATTCTGAAAATAAATCAATTCGGAAAATATATCAATCTTTTGGAATTATTAAAATGACTATTTTAGATTATTTTAGATCTCACTTTAATAGCATGTAGAAAATAAAGAAACTGGTCATGAAGCTCATCCAATCAAAAACAGCTAGAAATCTATCGGTCCTCGACTGTACTTCGGTAATTATACCAGTCGATACGTCTTCAATTGTTTTACTTTGATTCGTCTCAAAATGGAAAGAATGCGAGAATTTCAGTTTAACGTAGAACATTGTCTTTATGTGGTCAGTGAACCTTTTGATTTCTATATAAGCAAGAGATATTAAAGAAATACAGAATTGCAACGATATTATATTGATGCAAAAAATTTGATGATAAAATAATTTGTAAGTGTTTTAAAATTCTCAATATTTACAGAGGTATGAAATTTTTTAAAAAATTTGTTACGATAACACATTAACTGTTCTTCCTGAAAAAACACAAGAGAAATTTTTATCTACAACTCTCGACGTACTCTTTCGTACAGCGTTAACTATGGTATCGGCGATGTAAGACACGAGCATGCAGATGAAGTCTAAAGGTTTCACTATGTAACACAAGGCGCCGACGATGTACGTCAAATTGCAAATCCCTCCGAAAAGGGGGCCAAGCTTCGCCTTGCAGTCTGCTACCGCACCTTCGAAGACTCTCTGACACCTGTCGAACGGCGTACCCAGCTTTTTGTTGCAGATATTCACGACGTTGCCGAGCCATTTGAAAACCGATGTGATCACTCTCACTGAAAGATAAGTTTTTTTTCACGAAGTTACGAAGATCGATTATACGAGCGAAGCCAACGGGAGGGAAGAACGTTGATTCTCACGTATACTAAGCACGAGTCTCTTGATAGCCATGAGAGTCCGCTTAATCTTCTTCACGACCATCTTCACCGTCTTTACTACTTTCGATATCGCGTCTCTCAGCGCGTAGAAGGGCTCTTTTATTAAATCAACTACGCTTTTTACGGCTTGTTTCAATTGCTCCTGCGTAATTTACATTAATGGTGACAGTTCTAAATAACGATGACAAATCGAAAAGAAATGATAAAATCTTACGGATACGAGAACGCAACACGAATACGATTATGGAACTAACGGCCTTTTGTCGTGACCAAACAAAAGGTGAACTAGAACTAAGAATATGTAGATTCAACCATTCGACATTGTGTACAGACGTAAGTGGCACACGCGAGTAAACTCACCTGCAAGAGCTTACCTGTCCGCAGGCTAAAGACTCCGAAAGGACACTGATATTGTGCAAAATATTCTTTGCAGGTCCGGTAAGTGTCAGAATAAAGGCATAAGCCATCAAGGCCTGTCTGCCACGTTTAGAAAAGAACTGCGGCAGCAATAGAAACACAATACACCTGTGTAAATGTTTATAAAACTGTATTGAGGAATAATAATCACGTGCAAACATATTAAAGATCAGAAACAAGATATAATTTTTTTTCGGACTAGCTAAAGTCTTCGGGTTTTGAATATCCCTTGTATAATTTTTATATTTATATATATTATTGAGATTTGCATAAAATTACCTTACGCGATAAGAAAACGCCAAACCGAGCGTGAGAATCATTCCCAGGATCGAACACAGAATTGTGGCGGATGAAAGTGTAAAACTTAATTGAATTACGAAAAACACGAAGAACATATATGTGAGTAATATGCCGCTCAAAAATCCGAAGGCGCTCTTTAAAATGTAATTCTCGAGCGTGCCTTCTTTGCGAAGGAGCCTCGTCTTTTTGTAAAGCCAAGTGTGCTTTATGGGAGAGAGTATTCGGTTCCAGAAGTGCTTAAACTTTCTTCTACATCTATCAAAAGACATTAGCCATGGAGATTCGATCATAAAAAAAAAAAAATAATAAATGGAGCATTAAAACGGAAAGAAAAGATTCAGGAGATTATAAAATGAAGATTATAATTGAAGATTATAAAATTTAAAATACTGCCAAAATTCTGATAAGAAGAGAGAGAGAGAGAGAGAGAGAGAGAGAGAGAGAGAGAGAGAGAGAGAGAGAGAGAGAGAGTACGTACGTTACTTAC